TGGAGAATCAGTGTTACCAGGAGAGGTGTCAAATGGGTTCAGCAGATGGAGTCATAGCAGGTTGGAGGAATATGAGGGTGACCCCAGAACACTTGGAGGCTGAGTGGCACCACAAAGAAACAGAAAAGTAAACGTAGGACTTGTTATGGCTTGTGTTTAGGTGTACCCCCAAAGCCTCATGTGGTCATAGATGGGGCTTTTTCAGAGGTGGCTGGATCTAGTGTGTGATGCTGGAATGATTCATGGTGCAATGCTAGGCTCAAGGGCACTAGGATTAAAGGTGTGAGTGCTACCCGCCCTAAGTAGCCTGGATAAGATAAAAGGAGCAGAAAGAACTGTGGTAGTCCCTTGTTGTTTTGCTACCTTCTCCCCACCATGACCTGTTCTCCTCTGCCATGTGCCACTCTGCCTTGGAGCCAGCCAACTAGGGTCTGAAACCTCTACAAATTGTGAGCGAAATAAACCTTTCCCCCTTTAACTCTGGGTGTCAGGTATTTTGTCTCAGCAATGAGACAAAAGTAACTAAGACAGGACTGTTGAAAAATATTTTCACAGCTACCGTCACATGAAGAGTCCTTTTAGGAATATTGTCATATTTATTTAACATCTGCATCATCAGCTACCTAAAATATTTCTATGTGTATCCGTTCACTTTTAAAACTTTAATACCTATTTTGGCCTCATCTACCCTAAGAAGTAATATAAATAAAATTTGATGTGCTTATTACATTTTAAAACATACAATAAAGTGACTGTTAAAATTAAAAATGCCTTTGTGTCATCTCATATTGTTTCTCCTATAAACATGAGGCACATTTTGAGAAAAATCATTGTAGGGATGGCTCTTGGGTATCTGGCACCCAGGGTTCCAGTGTCTGAGACTCTCACATGGTGGGTGCGGCCCTCCTTGGCTCAATCAGGTCCACTTCTCTGTCCGGGTATTGTACAAGCCTTTACTGGTGTCCACATGGCATAATCCCTGTGCTGGGTGCTGAGGTCACAGAGGAGAACAAGACACAGCTCTTGCCCTCAAGAAGCTTTCAGTCTAGTGAGGAAGGCATATTTAGGGGATGAAAGGCTTCATAGAACAGGTAGCATCTTGAAGGGCAAAGGGGGAACATGTTCCCGGAAGCATGCTTGCTTCAACAGCACATATACTAAAATTGGAACGATAAAGAGAAGATTAGCATAGCCCCTGAGCAAGGATGACACACTAATTTGTGAAGTGTTCCATAGTTTTAAAAAATGTTAAATGTTGGGCTAGGGATTTAGCTCAGTGGTGCTGCCGCCTGCCTCGCAAGTACAGGGTCCTGAGTTCGATCCCCGGTACCAAAAAAAAAATGTTCCCGGTAGCAGGGACAGAGCAGGATAAAGGCAACTGCAAGGTTTTTGTGGCCAGAACCTAGGATGAAGGCCAGGGAGGGGGAGAAGGGTGGAACTGTTGGAGGGGAGGGGATCTAGTATGATCTGGACTAGAGTAAGTATTCCAGTTGCTGCCTTCATCATGGCCAGGTTTGGGGGTCTTCCTTTCCACCTGAGAGCAATGGCAGTAAGAATTTCTGTGCAGACTTGGGCATGTGCTGATATGGATGGCTGATTTAATTTTTAGCTCTTAATCGTCAACTGCATTGTGTGCCTTGGAATGTCGATCCTTCTTGTCATAAAAAACCCTTTCAGTGACAATTACATAGAACAACCAATTACCACTTGTCTGCCTCTGACCTGAATTAGAACCTGGGGTTGTGGATTAGTCCCACCAGGCTTCTGGCATTTACAGGATATCAGCACTTAAAGGATATTACATCCCAATGGTGAGGGTGCTGTGGTCTCAGCTTGCAAAGGACTATTGCAGGCTCAAACAGAATTGAAGCAATTTCTAAAATAGCCTATGATTCATTTTTTCTCCCCTCCTATGTGTAAAACTGTTGGCTCTATGTGGAGGAATGGGCACAAGTAACTGCAGAGGTGACATTACAGGAGTGGGCTGCATACCTGCCACACAGCTTATCTATTTGCTGGGCTGGGCAGTGCCTTCCAGGTGGTTTTGGAGTCACAGTTCCCAGGTTCTTTACTCAACGTGTCTTCTCCACATTTTTCAGACAAAAATTCTGGGCTGGGAAATCCAGGATAATGGGAATAGCAGTGGTAGGAAGAATAATACAGCCTTACATCTGTATAATACTTTAGAGTTTTGAAAGCCATTTGCTCCACCCAAACACCATTGGGAAATGGAAGCTGGGATTTTTTTGGCTTGAACTGAAGATGAGCTCTTGTTCTTTTATACAAAAGGACAAAATATGTCCATCCCCTATTTTACCTCAAGGCACATCATGATTGGGCCTTGGATGTCATCAGAATTTCAGAGAGACTCCCTTCAGCATCTAGGCTCTTTCTGGAAGAGAAATTCTCCAGGACAAATTGCCTGGCAGGCACAATCTATTAACCTTGCCATTGTGACTGAGCCAGCAAGTAGTGCCAGTCTCAGCACTGGTAACTCCTTCTGCACACCCAAGTTTATAGTCCCAATGGTCTCAAAGACCTTTACTAGAGCCAAAGGCATGGCTGCTAACTGTGGACCCCTGAAGGTAGGGTGTGTCACGAACATCTGGAAGAGTAGCTGAAAGTCCTGTGAAAGGAAAACTCACAATCCAGGTCACATCAGCCATCACTGTGGATCTTGAAGGGAAGGGCTACTAAGCCCAGCAGTGGAGTGGGTTGGAGGGATTCTTTTCTTGGAGAAGCCATAAAAATAGTTCTGCAGCAATCTCATATTTGCTCTGTGATCTTTCAGCAGCTGGTTCTAGCATGGCTTGGTGTTGCCAGGGCTCTATCACCAGAATTAACATGAGAAGTCTGTCCCATCCTAGCTCTCCTCCTGTCTTGTTACATTCTCATTGCTGAGACAAAATACCCAACATCCAAAGTTAAAGGAGGAAAGGTTTACTTCAGCTCATAGTTTATAGTGTGTTATAGGTTGTGTCTAGATGTTCCTTTGAAGCCACACAGGTGGGGCTTTTTCAGAGGTGGCTGGATCTAGAATGTGTGACACTGGGATTGATTCATGGTGCAATGCTAGGATCAAGGGCACTCGGGTATGTGTGCTACCCACCCTTAGGGCAGGTAGCCTGGATAAGATATAAGGGACATGAAGAGCTGTGGTCATCTCTTGCTTGCTTTGCTACCTTCTGCCCACCATGAACTGTTTCTTCTCTGTGATACCTTTCTACCATGGCACTCTGCCTTGGAGCCAGAAGATTATGGACTGAAACCTCTACAAACTGTGAGCTAAACAAACCTTTCCTCCCTTAACTTGTGGGTGTTGTGTATTTTATCTCAGCAACGAGATAAGTAACTAAAACATAGAAGTTTCAGTCCATAGTCAGCTGGCTCTAAGGCAGGGCAGCATGGCAAGAGGAGAAACAGTTCATGGCATGGCAGGCAGGAAGCAGCAGCCTTCCTTCCTTTTTTATTCCATCCAGACTATAAGGCTATTGGTTGTTGCCACCCACACTCAGGGTGGGTTTTCCCTCTTCAGTTAATCTGTCACCTACACCCAGAACTATGCTAAACTAATCAGTATTCCACACCCATGATCTGGTCACTCCCAAAAGCCCCACCTATGAGCACATGAGGCTGTGAAGGACATTTAGATAGATAAAAACTATCACACTTTTCTCATCTTCCCCAGCATCATAGTAATGTACCAGACTGGAAGCCAAAGGGGTGGCATACTCTTCCTTGGCCCTCCAGGTTTTAGATCAGATTTCAGTGCACTTTGTATGTGTGTGTGTGTGTGTGCGCGCGCACGTGCACACGCAGGAGCATATACATATGTGTCTGTATGCATGAAGTGATGGAAGCAGTGAGCCATAGATGCTCGGTAGTGCTGTGAGAAGGGGAGGTCTTCCTGCTGTGCTTGCTGCCACAGCTGCTGCTACCATCACCACCTCCAGATGAAGCCAGAAGGACTTCACTTGTAAGATCATGGGTGCTGGTCAGTGCCACGAAAATATCATCTTTGTAAACCAAAATGCTTGCACTCAGACACTTCTGTCTGTTAGAAATCTTGGTGGGGTATAAAAGTGTCCCTTTTGAAAGTTGAATCTAAGGGCCAGGATTTAGCTCAGTGGTTCCACCGCCTGACTCACAAGCAGAAGGTCCCGAGTTCGATCTCCGGTACCAAAAAAAAAAAAAAAGAAAAGTAAGAAAGTTGAATGTATATGTGGAAAGCTGACTGGCAGAACATCACCACTTCCAGAGTAGAGGGCTCTCAGAACTAGTTTTAGGCTCACAGGGGAAATGTGTGTCCATGAAAGTAGATTAAGAAGCAGCGCCTCAGACTGTTTGAGATGTGAATAAAAATCTTGGCTTGGGACTGCCTTCTCTCTGGTTGAATGATTTTCCAATTGATTTGTATTTATTAGCTAATGAAATTAAAGTTGTAAAAATGATAACAGAAACACAGTAAATCTTTCCCACAACTGGCTGTTTCTATGTCACTATGGTGCATTCCTCACTTTGATTACTTCAAAGTCTATTATTTTGTCCTCAATTATTCTGTTTTTCTGGCACTGGAGAAAATCAATTTGTTTTATTTTCTCTTATTCATGCACTCAATTATACTCTTCGGGCACATTTAATCACTTTGATGTTTTCATTTTATGGCCCGTCTCTAGGCACTTCAGCTGCATTGCTGCCAACGGGCAAGCAGGACTAATTTGCATGTCACAATAGACTTGAAATTCGAACTCAATTTAGAAATCTTTATGAAATTTCCCTCCCAAATATGCTTGGAGCTGCAAAGAGGCAGAAGGATATGGGTAAACCAGGAGCCTATAAAGATGCTTCCTTTTCTCAAAAGACTGTGAGCTCCCTGGTGGCCTGACCATGCCTTGGGGATGTCCCTGGTCAGGTACAGCAGAGGGGCCCATGGGCTGGGCTGCCTACAGTTTCCTCTGCAACTCTATGGTGAGAATCCTGCAGCAGCTGCCCCTCAGCAGTGAAGCAAGGGAGCTGGGCTTGGTTACTCTGGCATCAAACAACCCTTAGCACTTCTGGATTTGGAGATTGTACTCAAGACAGTACCTGAATCTCAGTTGGTTAAAGGGCCTCCAGGTAGATGAGAAAGTTGTCAACAGTTAGACATTATAGAACCCTGAGTGGTGTACTTTATTTTCTCTAATAATTTCCAACCTTCCTTTTGCCCCTTGATCATTTCAGTACTAAAAGCTGGAGGAGAATGAGTAATACAGTTGCTTTAGGCATGTACTCTGGGCAAACAAACAAACAAACAAAAATGCTTTACATTAGAAGCCCCCAACTGCTCTTCCACATTTCTTGGTTTGTTGTATGCAACAATCAGCAGTTCCACCAGGCAGAAGGAAAATTCATTTCCGCTTCTAAGCTTTGAGCATGATCCTCAGCTTCTCGTGGGGAATCCCAGTTCCCTCACTTATCTGCTGTGTGACCCTGCACAAGGTAATTAACTTCCTTAAGCTAAAGTTCCCTCATCTATTAAATGGGACTAATAATATTATACACTTCAGAGATAGATTTGTTTCCTAAGCCTTAATACTGTCGAGAGACTTACCACATTCATATAGTAATTATGTGGAAACTTTTTTTGGGGGGGAAGTGTCGGGTATCAAATCCAGGGCCTTGTATATGCTAGGTAAGGGCTGTGCCACTGACCTGTATTTCCAGTTCCTGGAAACCTTTTTTGGATAATCCTTTTTTGAAACAAAAAGAAACTTAGCTTCTTTTTAAGCAATAATATCAAATGAAATCAAATGGTTTGATGTGCTAGTTATATTTCTTTCTAATATCTATTAAGACACATGCATTAAATACACTAAATTTCTGCCTTGTGTTATTTTATCTTGTTCCTTTCATCTAGAATGTTCTTCACTTCAATTTTTGAAAAACTCCTTCATTCACTTTATTAAGCTCTATTCCCAAATGACACCCCCTCAGTGAGGCCTTTATTGACAACCTTATTTAAAATAATACCCTCAATTTAATTAGTAATCAAACTAAATATTTGTTTATTGTTACCTGTCACACTAGAACACAAACTCTATGATGGGCAAGGCCTTTATCTGTCATATTTAATTCTGTATCACCAGTGCCTAGAATAGTTCCTGACACAGATTAACATCAAATAGATATTTGTTGAATGAATGAAAAATTAAAATAGAAAATTATCCTAGCAGTAACCAGGTTCCCCTTCCATCTTACATGGGTGGTGTCAGAGAAGGCAGAGTGGAAAGCCAGCACTTTCCATCCTTGCTTGATAACAAGGTGATCCCCCCCATCTTCTGAGTCAGTAGAGGCCACATGGGAGCAGTAAAAAGGTGCTACTCCCATTCTTGGCCAAGAAAGTATTAGTGGAAATCTAGTGGGGAGCCTGAATTTATGCTGCTTCTCAACAGGAATAAAGCATGGCCCTTTCCCCCTCCAAGGATGTCAAAGATGGCTGAATAGGGAATCTAGATTTTTTATCTTTAATATTTTTAGGAACTTAGACTTAACCATTTTAGTGGTACTTCAATATTTATCTTTGAGTGATGATTCAGAATGTGCATTTTTTGTTGCTGGACATATTTTGAGTTATGGTATATGTTTTATTATTCTGAGGGACACTTGAAATGCCCATCATTAACACAAACATTATTGAAATACACATAAACGTAAAATAAACTTTTAGAAATGAAAGAACAGTTTGTCATTTTTCTGCCCCACCTGGCAATCTGCTAAAATTTCAGAAATCTTTAAAAGTGGAAACTCAGACTTTTACCCCTACTTTGAGGTAATGGGGTAGTGGTACCCTCCTCTGCCATCGTGGTATCAGAGGGAGCCTGCTAAAACAGAAGATTTAAATAAGATCTAGAGTTTCATAATATCATACCTAAATGTTCAGAATACAATAGAAAATCACTCATCATACCAAGAACAAGAAACTCTCAATTTGAATGAGGGGAAAAAAAACAAATGACAACATAAAGATGACACAGATGTTGGAAGTATCTGAGAAGGCACTTAAAGAGGCCATCATAAGAATACTTCAGTCACGCAGCTCCGAGCCCCGCTGCATGGCTGGACGTTGGGCTTCGCGGCGCCCACCTCTCGCGGGGCTCAGTACCCTGGGCTGTGAGGCCAGGCCAGAACAGTTGTTTTCCTGCGGCTTCCAACATGGCAGGCAGGTTCTATACACATGGATGACAAGTCCACACAAAAAAGTCCTGAAGATACTAGGCCTACCCGTTATAAAGGTAAAAACAAACAAAAGAAAGAAAAAAAGCAAAACCCAAAACACCACCGATCCCGACATAGATCAGGGACATCTTCTTCTTCAGATGATCATGTGTTTCCGTCATCATCTTCTTCAGGAAGCGAGACAGATTCAAGTACTGAAGATGCCACCAAAGGAAAAAATAAGAAAAAGAAAGGAGAGAAAAAGAATAAATGGAGAAAAGAAAGAAAGATACTCAGAAAACTACACAGCTAAAAAAATCACACAAAAATTGCAAATCTTTCAAATCTTTTTGTTTTTTTGCTACTGGGGATCCAACTGAGGACCTTGCGCTTGTGAGTCAGGCAGCAGCACCACTGAGCTAAATCCCTGGCCCTCTTTCAAATATTTTTAAGTTTTGATGTTAACATAGTTTACAAAATGCATATTTACTTTGAAAAAAGTTTAAATAATTATAATAAATAACAGATAAAAAAAGAATACTTCAATGAGCAATTATGAACATGCTTCAAATAAATTTTTAAAAAAGCAAGTCTTGGCAAAAAAATGGAACAAAAAAAGAAAAACTAAAAGGAAATTTTAGAACTGGAAAATACAATACTTGAAATAAAGAACTCAACAGATTGGTTCAATAGCAGAATGGCAGGGATAGAGGAAGAATCAATAAAATGGAAAACAGAACAACAGAAATTGTCCAATTTGGGCAAATGACAGAAAATAGACTGAATAAGCAGAGACTTAAGGAACATGTAGGACTAGGATAAAAGATCTAACATTTATGTCATCAGACTCTGAGAGGGAGAGGAGAAAGAAGGTGGGACTGAAAAACTATTTGAAGTAAGAATTGCCAAATATTTCTCAAGTTTGGAAAAGACATAAACCTACGGATTTAAAAAGCTTACTAAAATCTAAACAGGATAAACCCAAAGAAATCCAATGCAAGACATATCACAATCAAATTTCTGAAAACCAAAGGAAAAGAAAAAATATGGAAATTAGCAAAAAAGAAACAAAGCCTTACCTATAAGGTAATTGATCAATTGAGAGTTCAAATGACAGTGACGTTTTCATCAATAACCATGGAGACCAGAAGGCTAGAGAGAAGTGGTACAATATTTTTCACGTGCTGAAAGAAAAGAACTGTCAATCCAAAATTCTATATCTAGTGAAATACCCATCAGGAATGAAGAGAAATTAAAGGTATTTGTGGAGGAAGAAAAACGAAGAGAATCTGTTGCCAGCAGACTTACCCTAGAAAATAATAACTCAAGGAAATTCTTGAAATGGAAAGGAAATGATAAAATAAAGAATCTTGGAACATCAGCAAGGAAGAAAGAACACTATGAAGAGTATGAGTAGATATAATGGATTTTCTTTTCCTGCTGAGTTTTCTAAATTATATTTGATGGTTAAACCAAAATCTGTAATACCGTCTAATGTGCTTCTAAATGTATGTAGAGGAAAAAGTGGGCAACTGAAATGAATAGACTCTTTTCAGAAGAAGTACAGATGGCCAATGAGTACATGAAAAAAATGTTCAACATTGCCAGCCATCAGATAAATGCAAATTAGAATAATACTGAGATTCCATCTCACTCCAGGAAGAATAGCTATCATCAAGAAATCAAATGCTGGGGAGGCTGCAGGGAAAAAGGAATCCTTCTGCATTGTTAGTGGAAATATAAGCCAGTACAATCACTATGGAAATCAGTATGGAGATTGCTCCAAAAACTAAAACAAGAAATTCCATTTGACTCAGCTGTGTCTTCCTGAAACAGTTAAAGACATATTATAGTGATACATGCATGTCCACATTTATAGCATAATTCATAATAACTAAATCTTAGAAGCAGCCTATATGTCTATCAACAGATGAATGGATAAAGAAAATGTGGCACAGTGGTACCTTGGTTCATGAATACTTTTGTTTGCAAACAATTTGGTTTGTAAACAGAAGCATTTGGCAAAATTTTGTTTTTGTTTGCAAACTCTGTATCGGGTAACAAATACAACCATGGTCATCTTTCCTACACAAACACAAATGTGGCCATCTTTTCCAAAATTGTAGAACAAATTAAGCTCATGAACTATGGTACCAATGTATTTATACACAATAGAGTACTGCTCAGTCATAAAGAATGATACATTTGAGTTATCTGTAGAAAAATGGATGCACCTTGACACATACACACAAAAGAAAAATGGATGCACCTTGAGACCATAATGTTAAGTGAAATAAATCAGACACATAATCTTAACTATCATATAGTTTGTCTTATATGAGAAACTCAAAGTATAAATAAATTAAAGTGCAAAATAGAAGATAGGTAATAAGAAACAGGGAGATAGATCTTTTGCAAAGGAAAGGGGACCAAGAGATTGAGGGAAGGAAGAGGGAGAGGAGAAGGGTATATGAAAATAATTAAGATGTGTTATATACACATACCAACTCCCAACAATGAATGTAATCATTATGTACTGCAAACATGTACTAATAAAAATAAAAATTAAAAAAATATTTAGTATAAGTGGGGAGAAGAAAGGGACTTAAAGATGTATAGTTTTTGTACTTCACGCACAGTGGTAACATGTTGACAATAGACTGAAATGAGTTATGAGTGTATAGTATATATCCAGAGAAATCACTAAAAGTCAATATAAAGAGATACAATAAAAATACTATAATGAATCAAAATGGAATTTGTACAAAGGTACAAGTACCCATAGTAAAGGATGGAAGAGAAAACAGAAACAAAAATCAGTAAAGAAACGAAAATAGTAAAGAAAAAAATAAAATTGCAGTTAACCCCCAACAAAATTACAATGAACATTAAGTGATCTAAATATAGCAATTAAAAAACAAGAACTGACAGAATAGCTAAACATATGATGTAACTGTATGTTGTGTACAAGAAATTCATTTCAAATATAAGTAGATTGAAAGTAAAAGGATATACTAAGATATATCATGTTTATTGATATAAAATAGCATTTGAGTAAATAAAATTACCATGGACAGAGAGGGACATTATATAATGTTAAAAGGGTCATTCTACCAAGACACAGAAATCTGAAATGTATATGCATCAAATATCAGAGTTTCAAAATACATGAAAGAAAAATTAATAGAGCTGTATGGGGGAAATAGACAAATCTACAATTAAAGTTGGAGTCTTCAACATCTTTCTCTCAGCAATTAACTAGACAATGAACAAAGGGTATAGAAAAACTTGACAATGTTATCAATCAGCAAGATCAAACTGACATTTATAGAACACTCTAAATAACAGCAGGATGCACATTGTTTTCAAGCCCTCACAGAATATATACCAAGATAGGCCATAAAACAAACTTAAATAAATGAAAAATAAGAGAAATTACACAGAATGTATTTTCTTTCTTTTTTTTTTTTTTTTTGGTACCGGGGATTGAACTTGGGTCCTAGCGCTTGCACAGCAGGCGGCCAAACCACGGAGCTAAATCCCCGGCCCCTGGAATGTATTTTCCGACCACAATGGTCACTGGAGAATTGTACTGAAATGGAGAATTAACACCGATTCTATACTATCTCTTGCAGAAAATTGAAGAGAATACTTCTATTTGTTTTTTAAGGCACATAGTGCCTGACGCCAAAAGCTAATAAAAATACAAGAAAGAAAAGTATACATTAATACCCCTCAAAATATAGATGTAAAAATCCTTAACAAAACATTGGCAAATAGTAGTCAACAATATAAAATATTATATATCATGACCAAGTAGAATTTATGCTGGGTATACAAAGATGATTTAATATTTGAAAGTCAAGCAATTTTTTAATCCATCAGAATTAAAATGCTAAAGAAAAGATCACATATATATATTAATATTAGTATCAACTGATATAGAAATAGCACTGGACAAAATTCAATACTATTGAGGAGACACTATCTCAACTTAATGGAAAATCTACAAAAACCTACAGCTAACATATTTAATGGTGAAAAATGGAATGTTTTCCCCCTAAGTTCTAGAATGAGTCAAGGATGTCTGCTCTTGCCACTTTTATACAATATAGTACTGGAAGTCCTAGCCAGTGCAATAGGGCAAGAAAAAGAAATAAAAGGCATATAGGTCAGAGTTGGGCATGGTGGTGCATGCCTGTAATCTCAGCACTCTGAGAAGCTGAGGCAGAAAGTATCTTGAGTTCCAGCCCAACCTGGGCAATTTAGCAACTTAGCAAGACCCTGTCTCAAAATAAAAAGGAAAAAGGACTGGGGATATAACTCAGTGTGAAGGCCCTGGAGGAAATGCAGGGGAAATGCATATGGATCAGAAAAGAAATGAAATTTTTCTATTTGCATTTGAATGAAGGTCTATGTAGGAAATCCCAAGAAATCTACAAAACAAAACACGTAGAACTAATAAGTGAATTCAGCAAAGTCACAAGATATAGGATCAATATACAAAAATCAGTTGAATTTCTATAAACAAGGAACACACAGAAATCCAAATTAAAAATACGATTGTATTCATAATTATATGAAAATACTTATGCATAAACCTGTTCAGGCTCTGTATGCTGAAAATTACAAAATGCTGATGAAAGAAATCAAAGAAAAACTAAAAATAGAGAGATATACCATGTTCATGGATTGTAAGACTCAATGTAGTAAAGTTGTATTCTCTTCCTAAATTTGATATATAGGTTTAACACAATTCTTTCCTCTCCCTCCTTCCTTCCTTCCTTCCATCCATCCATCCATCCATCCATCCATGCATCCATCCATCCATCCATGGTAACAGGGATTAAACCCAATTGAATCCAGGGTCTTCACACTGAGCTACATCCTTAGCGCCTCCTCCCCTTTTTAAATTTTGAGACAGGGTCTTGTTAAGTCACTAAGTTGCCTCATAGTCCTCCTGCCTCAGCTTCCCAGAGTGCTAGGATTACAGATGTGTACCATCATGTATGGCTAACATAACTTCTTTCTAAATAATATTTTAAAAAATTATAGACATAGACAAGATTATTTTAAGGTTTATATAGAAGGGCAAAGGAAGCAGTCTAGTTAAAATAATTTTGAAAAGAAAAAAGAAAGATGAATCATTCTACCTAATTTTAAGATTTACTACATAGCTATAATAATCATGATTGTAAAGCAATGGACACATAGGTCAATGAAGCAGAAGAGAAAACCCAGAGAGACTGAGATAGTTGCCTTAAACTAACTGGAAATTTTGGAAAAGGAAGTTGTTCTGGGAAGGCAATTGGATTTTCTGCCCTTTGCAAGACAGAAAAGGCTTTATTTTATGAGTCAAGGGGTGATTTGATTTTCAAGACAAATGGAATCACCCTAGAATTCTGTGATTCCTAGAAAAGAAACAGCACCCAAGACATCTGAAATACTCTACCTCTAGTATGTTATTGTTCCAGTTGTCTAAATGTGTAGTGACCAGATTTTATAAACCAAGAATGGAGACATAAGGTCTGACAAAAGATTTTCTTTTTCTTAAAAAAAACAAAACAAACAAACCCAAACATATATTATGTTTTTTCCTGACTATAAAAAGAATACATGTTCATGGTAGAAATTTTGGAAAATATATTGAAAGAATAAGGAACAAGTAAAAATTACACACAATTCTAATCCTAGATAACTACTGTTAAAATACTTTAATAAAGTATCACCGAAGAGAACCACTGTTAGTACTTCCTTCTAGTGCTTTCTGTGCATATTCATGTACTCACAGGTACATTATATACATTTATGAAATCAAGACTGTGTGATATTAAACCATTTGTATTGTTTTTTCATAAATATTGTTATCATGAGCATATTCTTGTGTCAAGTTATTTTTAAAAATTTGATTGTTATTTGGTTGCAATGGATTTTTCCATGTAGACGTACTATATGGAATCAGTAGCAAACCTTACCTTCAGAATATCAAGACAGAACACAATGGTATGTTTCTGTAAAACTATGCCCCTTCCTAATAATTTCCAATCCTAGTTGGAAACTTCAGAGTCATCCTTACTTCTCCCCTTCTCCTTGATCCTCTATAAATGCCCTACTTCCAAGTTCTGGTCATACTCCTTTTATAATAGCTCTCAGCCATTCCTCCCTATCCCACCTCCACTGTTCTTGTTTGGGCCCTTG